AAAAAGATCAAAGACAGAGGAAAAGGATGTGTGTGTGTGTGTGTGTGTGTGTGTGTGTATACCAAAAAAAATCTTAAGCATCTCTTTTTCTAGTAGTAAATAACTGGAACATAAGGGAATGCCCATCTATTGGAGAATGGCTGAACAAATTATGGTATATGAATTTAATGAAATACTATTGTGCTATAAGCAATTGTAAAGGAAATGGTTTCAAAGAAGCCTAGGAAGACTTGTATGAACTGATGCAGAGTGAACTAAGTAGGACCAGGAAAATAATTTATACATTAACTTCAACAATATAAAGATAAACAACTGCAAAAGACTTTAGGACTCTGAAAAATATAATTCATTAACCACGATGCCAGAGAACTGATGATGAAGAATGCTACTCATCTCCTGACAAGGTGGTGATTCACTAAATATGTAGGACTAGACAAATTTTTTGAACCTGGCCAGTATAAGATTTCTTTTGCTTGACTATACATATTTATTACAAGGATTTTATTCTTTTTTCCCCAGTGGGATCAAGAGGGGAGGTGACAAAAAAAAAAAAGAGGGGAGGTGAGAGGGAGAAAATATTTTTGTTAATGGGAAAAAATTAAATCAATTTTTTTAAAAAGAGGGTCATAGGGTTTTAGAGCTGAAAGGGGCCTGTTTTATAAATTACAATACTTGTATGCACATCACAGGGTTGCTGTGAGAATCAAGTGAGATAACATGCATAGAATACTTTACAAACCTTAAAGTACTACATTAAACACATTCATTATTATGAAAGCTTCTCGTCCAAGTCCCTTACGCCTTAGATGAGGAAACTGTGACCCCAAGAGGGAAGTGGCTTACCCAAGTCCTGAAACTGATAAACATCTGAGCCCAGATTTATAAAGGTTTTAGCTCCATAGCATAGTAGGAAAAGTACTGAATTTGGAGTTCAAGAACCTATAATCAAATCTCTACTCTGCTACAATCCTTCTCATGACAACAATAAAGAGGCAGGGTCACGTAACAGAAATTGTGCTAGACCTAAAAATCAGCACAGACTTGTGTTCACATCCTACCTTGGACACTTACAGGTGAGCCTATGTGTGAGAAGATTTATACGTACTGACGCAGAGCCAAGAGGGCAAATGTAAAGGAGCAATATGTCCAGCAATATGTCCACTAGAATGATGGAAATGAAGACAACATATTGCTAGTGTGACAATAGGCAAGTCATGCCATTTCTGACCCTCAAATCCAAAGATCTGGATTTGAAAAGAGTAATTGAGATGGCAAAGTGGTGTAGTATACTGAATGCTGGGCTTGGAGTTAAAAAGGCCTGAGTTCAAATCCTGCCTTAGACACTATCTGGGCCAGCCTGGGCAAGTCATTTAACTTTTCTCTATGCCTCAGTTTCTTCATCTATAAAGTGGGAATACTAGTACCTATATCTCATGGGATTGTTGCAGAAATCAAGTGAGATGAATATGGAAAACCCTCTGCAAAACTTAGCTATTTTTTATTATAATATCTCTAGTACCTAACCTCACAAGTTTGTTGTGAAGAAAAAATGAAATATTAAGCATTTTGCAAGCCTTGAAGTACTATAAAAATGTTATGATGATTATCCAGTGCTCTATCATAGAGGGACAGGATCTTGAATTAAAAACTTACCAAATTGGGGGAGGGGAGAGATGGGGAAAAAAACTGGAACTCAAAATCTCATGGAAATGAATGTTGAAAACTAAAAATAAATATATTTTTTAAAAAAACTTACCAAAGGGAAATAATCCCTACAGTAATAATAGCTAGCATTTATATCGCCTTTAAGGTTTGAAAACACTTCATAAATATTATCTCATTTTATCCTTAGAACTACCCAGTGAGGTAGGTGCTCTTATTATCCCCATTTCACAAATGAAAGAATTAAGGCAGAAAGTGGTTAAGTTATTTGTCTAGGGTCATACAGCTAGTAAGCGTCTGAAATTGAGATTTGAGCTTGTCTCCCTGATTCCTAGGTCCAATGTGTGTCTAATGTGTGTATCTGGACCTAAAACTTGAAAAACCAGCTGCCTTCAATCTTTAGAGAAATTCTGAGGTAGAAGAGATAGTATCTTTACCATTTCAAACTGGGTACAACTTCCTTTCTTTTAAATTTCTCAACTACAGTACTTAAAAGACAATACTCTGCTGATGAGAATCTAGTGCAGTCTGTCTGGATCAAGTAGAACGATGTCATCGAAGGACCACAGGAGATAAATGCTTCTGAACATCAATCAGACTATTTAAATTTTTATAATCAAAAATAGTCCAAAACTCCAGGGAGGGACAAGGAAGCAAACACATCTTCCTTCATAATTCATTGTCCTGTGCTTCTAAACAGATGCTTTCAGGCCAAAAACAGCTTTGGCTTCACTTACTTTCCTCTTTGAGTTAAAATGTTGTCACTCAGAATATGTTGGTCTTCCCTAGCAATGGTACTTCTTAACAGGCCCTGCAATGGCCTGGGGGGGGGGGGGGGGGAAGGGGAGCTGGGGAGAGCTTAGATTGAAAATTTATTCATGTATATATAATTCATTTCAGGGATTCTTCCTTCAATTCCTTCCCCCCTCCCCCAACACACACACACACACACACACACACAACACACATTACAGCTAATTTGTCTCTTGAGTGCTGTATTTTAATCAGCAGATACGGTACTGAGCAATAATAAAACTGAACTGAGAATAAATCCTTCTTCTTAAACCGTTGTGGAAAGGATTAGTTATACCAAAGGCAGCGAGAAGTGTGAGATTTCTCCGAATCTCCTGATACTGCCATAGATCACTTACAAACAGGGTCCTCCATCTTCAAGGGTCTTCTCAAGCGGATGCTGGCAGGGACGGTCTTCTCAATCAATTCGTCCACACTCTAGATTTAAAAGAGAGCCAGAGAAACACAGAGAAAAAAAAAACAATATAAATAGGCCTATTTCTTTGGGAATTGCTTTTGCATTTCTTAAATCCATAAAGGCTTGTGGGGAATTCATTTAAGTAGTTTGAATCACTTTAAACAAACGCAACAAAAGCCCTCATTGTGCATCAACAGTTGTAAAGGGCTGATTCTATCTCTCTGCTAATAGAACTTAGTTTAGCAGGCGGGAATAACTACTCAAACCGGTCACTAACACTTGAAAAGGAACCACTTTCCCAGGCAACAACCTTCTTAGCTATGCGACCAAGGAAACCAGCAAGTTTCAAGGTTTCCATGGCTAAAAGGCACAGCCAGGGGCAATGGAGAAACCCACTCGCCGAGGGAGAAAGTGGTGCTGCCTGGGGGAGAAGGGAAGAAGGAATTAGGGCCAAGGGCCGGAGGGGCTGAACTGAGTGGAAGCCAGAGGTGGGGAGAAGAGCTTGAAATAGGGGAGCGAGCGGGGGTGGGTAGGGAAAGCGGGGAAAGGAGGACTGGGGGCAATTGAAGGGAGGAGAGGAAGAGATGAGCAGAAGCAAAGGGGAATGGGGAAAAGGGACCTTACCGCCAATCCTAAAGTCTGCAGCATCTCCCTCTTCTCTTTGTCTCTCGGGCCAATGTGCCTCTCGGAGAAGTCATCGTGCCTAGGGAGCAGCTGCTCGATGTGGCGAGAGGTCACAGTGGCCCCAGAGCTGCGGCCGTCGCTGCCGCTGCAGTCTCGGCACGGCTGCGCCCAGCGTCCCCTCGGGGGGCTCGGCCCTGCGGGACCCACGGGCAAGTGGCGTACAGTGACCGCCGCCACCCCCCGGCCAAGACGCAGTCCTCCCCACCACTTGACACAGTTCTGCATGGCCGACGCTACTAGCAAAGGGACCAGGCTGAGTTCAACGCTTTCTTTTTACTCCTAGAGGTGGTCCTCCCGGCCCCCCTCCCTTCTCTTCTATTCGGGCTGCTCTTCGGTTTGTCCTCAGTCTCCGCCGAGTCCTAAGCCAAGGATATGTCTGTCTCCTGAGACCCTCCCAGTCTCTGGAATGGAAGGAAGCAGAGATGGATGGATGGATAGAAGGATGGAAGGATGGATGGAGCAGGCTGCAAGACTTGGAGACTCAGACTCTGACACTCGCACAAAGTTCTCAGTCCAAGACACCTGCCGGGCTCACTTAAAGAGGAGCCAAACAGACTGCGTGACGAAGAGGTGTAGAACGCGGTCTCGAGCTCCGCCCTTCTGGGACATTTTAGCCAATAGGAAAGGACACAGAGGGGTAGAGGGGGGAATTGGGGCAATGTAGCCCCCGCCCCCTCTGCTTGCCTCCACCCCCAATCCCCTCAATTCATTCTACTCTTTCCCTACGCCAGCCGGTAGGAAATAATTTCCCCATAGCCTGTAGCTTGGGACGCCAGAACCTCTGGGCGACTTCCAAATTAATCCAACCTAAAGTGTAAAGTAATCTAGCTTAGAAAACCTAATGGAGTTCCAGGTGAGGGGAGTGGGTGTGAAGAGAAAAGGAGGGAGAAGTGGGGGGGGGAAGGGGGAGAGAGAGAGAGAGAGAGAGCTTCCCCTACTAAGAACATTCTAATTTCTGATTCATCATTATATGTGTAGATATATTTGTTATTATAACATATGTATGTTATATCATATATACACGTGTATATATCTGTTATTCTGTAATAAACTAGACTTCACACATGATATGGCTCACTAAAAATTTCTCTGAGGTACAATAGTCAAAGTTTCTTTGAGGCACAAACTGTTGAATTTTTTTTGAAAATGCATTTTATTTGCTGTGCTGCCCATAGGAAAACATTGATTAAAAGCAATTTTTTTTTGCATTCCTCTAGAAGGCTATAATATACAGTATTTTCCTTGTGAATTAGGGAGATCTGAAAATTAAGCATTATGAATGGTAAGTCTTAAAAACAACTGTGGAAAATTCATCACAATGTAAATTTAAACTTTATTATGGTGAATAATTACCAGGTGTTTAATTGTCTCAGACGACTATTTGGAAACCAATCTTATAACATCATTTGAAAAGGAAACCACACAGAAATGAATTTATTGACATCATGAGGAAGAAAAGATCTGTGCCATTAAACAGTTTTTGATGACATTGACTGGTATGGGCCAAGCCAAAACCTTTGCAATTTACCTTAAAAGAATTTGGGTCTCATTTGTTTGAGGGGGGGAATGATGGGTACAGGCTTTGGAAACCCCTCCTTGAACTCTCCTCGAATTTTCCCACTTGATAGTAAGATAGTAAGTCTCTAGCATTCACCTGAGGCCATAATCCCCTCTTACCTTTCTCATTATTGCCTATGCTCCATCTCCCAATTTTCTGTTACCTTTAACTTAGCCCAGCGCTCCATTGTCTGTTACCTCAGGATGACCCCCAGCTACTTTCCACCCTAGATCATATCTAGACCCAGTTCTACTTTCCAGTCACTCCCATCAAGATCCTCCCTAGACCCCTCCTCCAGTCACCCCAAACTACTTATCCACTCCTAGATCCCTCCCACAGTCTTTCTGTATATCAGACAGGTCTTATCTCTATTAAGGTTCTCAGATTCTTAAAATCTAGCCAATAGCACAGACTCACTAGGAATCTTGATTGCCCCAATCAGTGTTCTAATAAACTTTGTCTTTGACTGAAAGAAGGCTTGGGTCTAATTCATTGGAGCAGGACTCCAGTGTTGCTATTTTGGGGTCCCAGCACCCCCAATCCTCTAAACCTCAACAGCATGATTACTATCTTGCCATCATTCTTCCTGCTTCTCACCAATTTCTCTCTAGTTCTTCTTCAGACATCTAATATTTGCATTTGGATTTTTAAGAACTCTGAGACCCTCAGGTCTCTTTGTGCTGCCGTATCTTCAAATGTGGGAGGAAAAAAAAAGACTATTAGTCAAGAGTTCTAATTTCCAGTCTGGACCCCATAGTTCAGTGACCTTTGTGACTTCAGGCAAGTCTCTTCACTGATCTGGGACTCAATGTACCATTTGTGAAATGAAGAGTTTGGACTCAATGATCTCAATAGCTTTCAGCTCTAACATTCTATGTTTAATGATTTTTGGCATTAGGAGTAACAGTTTGGGGCAGCTAGGTGGTGCAGTGGATAGAGCACCGGCACTGGATTCAGGAGGAACTGAGTTCAAATCCAGCCTCAGACACATAACACTTACTAGCTGTGTGACCCTGGGGCAAGTCAACCCCATTGCCTAACCAAAAAAAAAAAAAAAGAGTAATAGTTAAAGTCCTAGTTCTGAGGCAGCCAGGTAGCACAGTGGATAGAGTGTTTGACTAGGAGACAGGAAAACCCAAATTCAAATTTTGTCTCAGACTTATTAGCTATGTGATACCCTGGGCAAATTTTCAGTCTCAATTTAATCATCTTCAAAATGAAGGGCTTGGATTCATGGCTTCTAAGGTCCCTTCTAGATATAAAATATGATTCTATGATCAAATGTGGATAGAGACACATGTGAGGAATTGTGCTGTAATAGAATATAAAACTTTCAGTTGTAAGCCCTATTCCACACATCATAGATGTAAGACCTGATTCAAGTCTTTTTACTCTTCTGGGTCTCAGTTTTCTCATAAATATTATAGAAGGCAGGGAGGCATTAGACTAGACCAGTAGTTCCTACCTGTGAGTCCCTCCCTCCAAGGGAGCCTCAGAGTCAGTGCAAGATCAATAATAATAATAAACATTTATTAAGTGCCTACTATGTGCTTAGCACTCTGCAAAGTGCTGTGGATACAAAAAGAGGCAAAAGAGTCCTTTCCCTCAAGGAGTTCACAATCATTGAGACAACAAATAAACATATATATAAACAAGCTATATGCAGAGTTCTGAGAATCCATAAATAAATAAACATAATTTGTGTAGATGAGTTAATGGGTTCCAGATATATGTACTACTATTATTCAAATATACATAGATGCAATTGTGATGAATAAAATGCAAATTCTTTGACAGATAGCCTTTTTGTATTTTCTCAATCAAGAAATAAAAGCATAACCATCGATCAATTAGCCAATCAATAAGCATTTATTAAGCATTTACTAAGAGTTTGACATTGTGTTTAAGTGCTGGGGGTAAAAAGAAAGTCAAAACAGTTCCTGACTTCAAGGAGCTTACATTCCAGTGGAGAAGACAACATGTGGATGTTTAATTACATACAAGATCCATACAGAGTAGATAGAAGGTGTGTAACTTCAGAGGAGAAAGCTCTAACATTTGGGGAGACCAGAAAATTTCTCCTGCTAAAGATAGCATTTGAGCTGAGCCTTGAAGAAAACCAGGGATTCTAAGAGCTGGAGGAGGGGAAGCAGAGCATTGCATTCATTTGTATATTTGAGGGGCAACTAGGTGGCACAGTGAATAGAGCACTGGCCCTGAAGTCAGGAGGACCTGAGTTCAAATCCGGCCTCAGACCAAACACTTGACACTAGCTGTGTGACCCTGGGCAAGTCACTTAACCCCAATTGCCTTAAAAAAAAAGCAAAAACATTTATATATTTGAGGACATTAAAGAGGGGTCTTCATGCCTGTAGAGTTTGGGAACCATTGGGTTGCATAATCTATAAGTTCCCTTCTGGTTCTAACATTCTATGATTATGTATAGTGAGTTTATTTAAAGGTGAGATTATGTAAAATGAGATTATGTAAAGAGAGTTTATTTAATGGTGAGATGGGGAGGGGTGAGATGAAATGACATGGGATTTGGTAAACTGACAAAGGATAAGTTACGAGCAGTAAGTATGGTGGGGAAGGAACACCACTGTTTTCATGAATAGAAATCTCCATAGAGGAGTTAACATTTGATTTTCATTGACGGGTGCAAAAATCCTGTTAATATGAGAGTAGGGAAAGACAATAAAGGTATGGCTTTGGAAGAAGGTTCTGAGGTCATATAATCATAACATCTCAGAGTTTGAAAGGAGCTAAAAGGTCATCTTGTCCACCCCCTACCCAAATCATGAGTCCTATCTACAACATCCTTGACAAGTAGTGATTCATTGATAGAGAACACAGATAGAAGTGGAATGACTGGATCAAATAGTTACAATGAATAAAATGCCTGGGAAAATCCAAATTGGGGGGGGGAATAGAGTATAAAGGGAGGTCTTATGAAGATCTTTGGAATATTTTCGTCTTCTCCTCCACTTCCTTTCACTCCATCAGGAAACTATAGACAGGGCAGATGCTCACGTATTTGCTTTGGATAAATTTTGGAGCTATGCTTATCATCCAGTACTCAGTGACATCCCTAATTTAGCATCAAAGAAAACTGGCTGTGATCAGTTGTACTGCTTCAGGGTCCTAGCCAGCCAAAAATACATTCTGCCTTCTGGGACCTACAGACATATCCAAGCGGTAACTGACTATCCAGGAGGAACCGTAGTCATCAGCTAAGAATTGCCAAGAGTTTCTCTTTAGGAGGGTTTGCTCCTATCTCCACTAGATCTAATTCTGCTTTCAACCACTTGAGCATTCAGTTTCTTTTAGGTGTAATTCTGTTCAATTTCCATTTTACCTCCTTAACACTCTCTCACCTAGTTAGCCCATCTCCTTTTCCAGTCACACAAAATGAATGAATTGAAAAGCATTTAAGTATCAATAATGTTCTAAGCCCTATACTTTTTACAACATTTCTCAGCATTATCATTGGCATTATGTTGAAGCCAACTTACACACACCACACATCTTTACACTGGCTTTTGGTGTACTCACAATTTTAATTATTTAGACGTAGAAGTGTTCCATGATATTCAGCCACATGGCTTCACCAGAATATCAGTGTCAAAAAGACTGCAACAGCAAGCAACTTGGAATCATTAAAAGTGCTCTGTGGACACTTTTACCTATCAAAAAAATCATCTTTAGTGTCTCTTTGAGACATACATAGTGATGGGCTAATTCAACAGATTGCCTACCTAATTGCATGTTAGAATATGGGCAATATACATTTTTCATCAACTTGATTCTTCCTGAATAAATTGCTAGGCTGATTTCTTTTGATTGATTGCAACTAGACATGACCCTCTCTAGACAGAAGGATAGGTAGAAAAAGGAGCAAGAGAAAGATTTGAGATGAAAAGGAAA